ACCTCGTTTTGCTTGCTGAGTCAACCGACAGGTTGACAACCTTGATGATTTAAAATGATGAGATATGTTAGAGATGAGTTTTTAATAGATTATGTAAGACAAATTTATTTCCATCATTAAAATTTTAAAGGGTTTTAGGTATAATATGCCACTCTACTATGTCATTTATCAAACATGCTCATTTATTATTTTTACATTAAACATGCCTTTGTACTTTGGAAGCTATATCAAACATTCCCTTCTGTTAAAATTTTCATCCAAAATCGTTAACCACAGTCGAACTTTTATTTGGACGACACAAATGTCTAAAATATCCATATAATCACTTTAGAATTTTTGGTCCTTTTATATAGCCATATGAATATATGATGAGATCCAAAGAAATAAAACAGTGGACAAAACTGACATTTTCCCTCTCATTTGCCCATGTCAGGTCGTCTAAATCTCGATTCAATCATGATTGACAATTTTTTCAATAAAAATTTTAACAGAAGGTTATGTTTGATAACTTTTTTCAAAGTACCGGGCATGTTTGATGTAAAAAATAAAGAGGGGCATGTTTGATAAAACCACATAGTAGAGGGGCATATTATACCTATAATCCAATTTCAAATTACTACTTTATTTGTATACATATTACTACTTTATTTGTATATATATTTATTGTTGGCATATTATACCTATAATCCAATTTCAAATTGGGTTAATTGCATGGTTGGTCACTGAGATTACAAAAACCGTTCAAGTTTGGTCACTTGAAATATTAAATCCATTGGTGGTACTTCAGTTTACTGAAACCGTTCATGTTTGGTCACTCTCCGTTCAACTCCGTTAACTTTTGCTGATGTGGCAGTCAACTCTAAAAATTGACCGTTAACTTAGTGACGTGACAACTAAAAAATTATTAAAAATAAAAAAATAAACTTTTATATTTTCCACCTCATTATTACATTCATTAAAAAATAAATAAAAAAAAACCTAATTTCTTGTATGACTTCTAGCTCGACGTCGGATCTACCTCGGCGGCTGCTTCCTCCGCTACGAGAATTACAGCTTCTATGCAGAATCTGTCTCCCCCACCATCGACAACTTCACATGCGGAGGCGACGCCGCCGCCGGAGCGGAATTCGAGTATGTGCAGAGACGCAGAGTGTGAGGTACGCGTGGCGAATGTGACGAGGAACGCGGCGGTGTCGGAGGGAGTGAGTGGGTTTTTCGGAGTGGCGGAGGTTGGAGGAAGGGCTTATGCTCTGGCGCAGTGCTGGGAGAGCGTCGGGAGAGATGGTTGCTGGGAGTGTTTGGGTAAAGCCGCCGCCGCGGTGGTCGGAAGATGTCTGCCGAGGAGGGAAGGGAGAGCGCTGAATGCCGGTGCTATTTGAAGTACTCCGATCATAAATTCTACGGCGACGGAGGTGTTAGAGTGCATCATCGCGGTAATTTCGGACTCTTTGAGTCTTTGTTTTTAAAAATTTATATATAATTTTCTAGGTTTTGTTTGTTTGCTGAGAAATCATAGGGAAAGCGACGGAAAAGAAACACGAAGAAGGGGAAACGATCTTGAATAAGTTAATTAGGGTTTCTTGCAAAATTGAGCATTGATTTGAGTTGCCACGGCTCTGTTCTGAATTTTCAGGGGATTCAACACTAGGAGTGATAATGGCGATTGCCTTAGCATCAGCAGCATTCGCCATGCTCACACTCTTCGCAGCATACGCTGTCCATCTCAAACGCCTAAAGGCTAAACAAGGTATATACCCAAAAACCATCTCCACAAACTACAAGAGCTACTCCATTTTTTAGCTCCCCCACTTACTAGAAATTGTCACAGCACGCAGAAATCTGGGCAAGGTATCGATAAGCTTCAATAGGTTAAGCATGGACTTCAAGTATGAAACTTTAGAAAAAGCCACTGATTACTTCAGCCTGTCGAAGAAGCTAGGCCAAGGAGGAGCTGGCACAGTTTTCATTGGATCTCTTCCCAATAACCAAACCGTGGCAGTGAAGCGGCTGATCTTCAACACAAGCCAATGGGTGGAGGAGTTCTTTAACGAGGTGAATTTGATCAGCGGAATTCAACACAAGAACCTCGTTAAGCTGCTCGGTTGCAGTATTGAAGGACCCGAAAGCCTGCCGGTCTACACGGTGCTCTGCCTGGACGAGGCCACGACAGGGCTGGACAACGCCGCCGCGTTCTTCGTCGTGGAAGCCCTCCCAATGTCGTCCGCGATGGCGGCGACGGGAGGATCGTGGTCTGCTTCCCGCAAGTCTCGTTTTCTAAAAAATAAAGAAATTAGGTTTTTTATTTTTTAATGAATGTAATAATGAGGTGAAAAATATAAAAATTTATTTTTTTATTTTAATAATTTTTTAGTTGCCACGTCACTAAGTTAACGGTCAACTTTTAGAGTGACTGCCACATCAGCAAAAGTTAATGGAGTTGGACGGAGAGTGACCAAACATGAACAGTTTCAGTAAACTGAAGTACCACCAATGGATTTAAATATTTCTAGTGACCATTAAATTACTACTTTATTTGTATATATATTTATGTGTTTAACCCCTATCAGACCATTAAACCGCAAACTAATTGCTTGACCAACTCAATGACTTAAACTGGTTGACAACCTTGTTACTAAGTAATACCACTACTAATCTATAAACACCATAGATTACTCTAACAAACCAAAATTCACTTAAATTGTTAACTTTGATGGCTCCAAAATTCACTTAAACTTGTCAAATTCGGTGGCGTAAGGACCTGAACCTGAATTCAATAAACGTTAAGGGTCACAATACAACACTTTCCTCCTTCCACGCTATATGCTAAAAATGCTCTTTTGACAGAACGCCGGTTTACAACATTTGAAAATCAAATACAATGCAAGTAACTCTTCCCGCCGATTGCAAAGAAGAAAAAGAATCTTCCACTGAAAACAGCCCTCACAAAACCAAACAAGCGGCAACAGCCAGAGTTGAGCAATACATAAAAATTACACAAATAGAAAAAGAAAGCAAGAGCTAGCCTAATCTAAGAGACAAACGAGCAGAGACAAAAACTCTCAAGATGCATTCACACAAATATACAAAATTCACACAAACATATTCTCAGGGGAGAAGAAACTTAGGCATGGCCACTGTCGATCGGAGCCCCTGTTCTCGCCTGAGAGATCCGATTAGCATAGATCGTGACCAACTTCAACTGCATGCTGTTGAGCCCTTCCAGGTATGGCAAGAATGCTTTCCCAAGCATAATGTAGATATCCACCAGGCAGAAAACCACGGTCTATGCCAACCAAATATGAAGCAGATGACAGACCCAGAAAAGAAAGGGGGAAAAAAAGAAGAAAAAAAACAGGTTATCACAACACCAGAAACAATACATTGGAGGCCTAAGAAATGTAAATAAATAACACGGAAACAGTGTGAAAGGGGAGGCACGCTGGTTGTTAACAGCTTCAAACAAACAGTGGAATGAACACAAGCAAACAGAAATTTCTACCTTGCGAACATCGGCACTCTGATTGTTAAAAGCTTCAAACAATGCAGGCAAAAATGATGGCAACTGATTCATTAGCTCCTCCTGGGAAAGCCGGCCAACAAGCTGGACACAAGAACAGACAGTTGAATTCAATAATTAATTAAACAGCTCATAACAACACCTTTGTTTCCTTTGAAGACACTCCAAAGACATGCCATTGACTGCTTTTGAGATCTCGAATTTCCATCCCCAGGGGAAAATGAGAAACAAGAAAACCAAAAATACCTTTGTCAGACAGCTTATGCACGTCACAAGAGTTTTCTCATCTTCAGTTACCAACAAAGGAACAAGAACCTGTAACAGCGGACCAAGTATATCAAAACTATAATAGATTGCAATGTTCCCCCCAAACCACATGGCAGATTCAAAAAGCCACAGGAAGTTCAGTGGGCGATAGAAGCACGTACACTCAAAGATCTGTATGGATCATATTGAGATAAAATAATGTTCAAGCAGTTCTCAGCCTCATTGGATACCTGAACACAGAAGTAAGAACACAAGATCAAGAGGCAGCTAATGGGTAGTAAACGAAAGAACAAAGCAAGCACTTCCTGTAAGATGAAACGAAAATCACCCTTGGGACAGCATCCTTTGCAACATGAAGCAGCTTTTCAATCACGATCTCGATGGAATCCTCCATGGCATCTTTCTGAAAGGGTTGATGGCAATAGACATATTTCCAGAAGGATTAGAAGCAATAGAGGAGAGCATTAGATAAACCTCTAGTGAAAACCGTTAACAAGTACCTGATTTTCAGCATTTCAACAATCAACAAGAGAGCATGTTCACGAACCGTGGAATCAGGATCATCCAATACCTCAAGTATCGCTGTCAAAATCTGATTGAAGTACTGCAGAGGAAAAAAGATCTAGTCAAGAAGCAACAAAAAGAATAGTATTCAAACAGTAGAATCAATCTCAAACATCAGAATCTAACTCTGAAAACAAAAATTCCAACAGCAGAATAGAGTTTGTAGTTCTAGTAAAGAGATTCCTTGACAAATAAATCTGAATCTTACATGCTTCCATAACCTTCACTAAGTGCTTACTAAACTTCACAAAACTCATAATAGCTTCACATAAACTAGTGAAAATTTTTTGAATTTCTTAATTTGGTGCAGCAGCATATATTGCCTCATAGACTCCAAACCAAAAACAATTTGTTCCTAGGCCACTAAAAACTATAAACAGCTGCTGGTCATTATAATGCATAAAATTGCTAGAGTCTAAACTGTGGCCTAAACACTTGTGAGCAATTTAAGTACAATGGTAATAGAGTAGCCTACACTGGACCAAACTGAGTGATCACTGGCCATGGAAGCTTCAATTAATTTTTGAATCGCACCGCATTTGCTGACTGCAGGGTTTTCATCACTAGCATTGCAAATCTGGAAAGAGAGAAAAGGATTGTAGTTACAATCACAGAGAATTCAGGAAAATGTATAATCTGAGTTACAGAGCTCACCACGTGGAGGATTTGAGGAATACTAGGACCACCATCAGCAACAGAATTGATTCTTAAAGCAGTAGATTTTAAATTATGAAGATCCAACTCAGGAAGGGAGTAAGAATTATGCATATAGCCTTCAGAAACCACCAAAGATTCAGCACTTATTTGTCCATTAAGATCAAAACGTGGACTTGAGAAACCTTCATGGTTCAAGTCACTGTCCAAGCTTTCCAAGTGACCAGACTGGGATCCCATGTTCGACTCATAGATGGGTTATGGACCATGTAACTCAAATCTCTAGATTTTAGATCATTACTATCATCAACAACAGCACTAGCCTCAAAATTCTGATACAAGGACTCCTGAGTTTCATCAGAAGTAGCTTGACCAATAATTCCTGTGACCTGCGCTGACTCTTGAGTGGAATGCCATTTCCTGCCACCATCACTATCAATCGAACCACCGGAATACCTGCCAAGGTAATAACTCTTCTTTGATGCAGCAATATATCCTTCCTCTGAAGATGTTCCGACAACATCACATGGATCATATGCTGACTTTGACCGCTGTCGGTCTTTCTTGTTCTGCAAGAAATTCATTAGATCCACTTCGATACGGGGAGTATACTGTTTAAGGGCTCTTCTCAAGGAATTTTGCTCCTCCACAGATAAACAAAGTATAAAATTGAGGACAGCAGAGGAATCAAAGTGGGAATAGACTGATATAATGCATGTAATAGCTGCTTCCTTCAGCTTAGTGTTTTTATCATGGGACAACGGAGTCAACTTAGCAAGCCATAACTTCAGAATGCCAGTGTTGCCAGCGCCTTCTGAGTTCACTGCATGCTTGTTAAAGGAGCCAATAGCAAACTCAATGACAGCCAATTTGGCCTTTGGTGATCGTTGTTCATCCAGTGAACGAAGTAGTGCTGGTAAGAGGGTGTCAACACCATAAGTTTTGCCAACAATATCCAAGGTAGTTAAACAAGGTTGCCTAACTAGTTCCTTGGGATCAATTAGTCGAGAGAAAACATGGGGCAAGATCCTTTCCATGTAACTTTCGAAAGGCTTCCTGCAAGCAGGTATAATATCTGCCAGCGTTGACAGAGCTGCCTGTGCCACCTTATGGTGGGGATCATCTAAGTGCTGGAAAAATAACTTCATAACCTTCTCAAAGTTCTGGATAACTTCTGAATGCCTTTAGGGCCCTGCTGCAGCAAAGATCGGAGGTAACTGAAAGCTGCAACTCTAGCATTCCAGTCAGAGCTTGGACTTAGTCCCTCATTAAGTGCATCACCAAGAGAGGCTGGACCTCCAGAATAATTTGCAATCTCCGCAAGGGAAAGTTGGCTATCATCAAAACTTTTTCTCCTACCAGCAGACATCCCCAGCCACATGCTTTCTCAGAAGTGGCCTTTGGAAGTTTGGAACATGACTATTCTGTGAATCCCTGAAGTTCACATCTTTGTGAGGTGTATCAAGGTATTGCCTGTCAATTTGTGGGTTCATAATGCGCCTTGCCTCCCGGATGTCATTATTCTCATTTATCAAACCTCTGTCTTGCAACCTTTCAGAAGACCTCCGAGCTGTGTAAGATGAAAATGAAGGTGCAGATTCACCCACCACCCCACTGCGATATGATAGCTTGGCAGATTCTTTGGAAGCTTGAATATGAGTAATAATATCAGACAAGATCAAGCCACCATTGCGGTTCCCACCTTTACTGATACTAGAGACGGTTGAGTCCACAGGAAATGAGCTAGTGAGATTACTTGAAGCTGGGAATGGCGGATAACGAGATGATGGAGGGTCAACTCCTGCACTAGGGGAAATTAAATATATATTCAGCCGCTCACAGAACAACTCAAGTTCATTTCATAGTCATGTTTTTAGTAATTAAAAGTTTTGTACGTTGAGTGCCAAAATTGTTTTAAAATATGACAGACTGTTCATAAAGTACTAAGATCATCTTCTACCATGACACTATGTACAAAGGCCATCTATAAAAAAGAAGTACCTAGGTCCAAACTGGATGACCGAAGAGCTGAAGGATTTTGTTTGTCAGATATCTCCAAGCCTCTAAGCATGCTTTCGATTGCAGTGACCTTTTGTTTACTTGCATGCAAAACACTTTCTAGACTCCGTTCAGTGCCTTTACCAAGAGACTTTGCCTGTGACAGCAACAGCCCAGATGACAGCGATGTCCCAGAGGACAAGCTGGAGGTTCTATCCATTGCAACAATGGCAGAAGTTCCATATCCAGGTAAATTTGAAGCAGCATGCACTTGTGATGAATATGAACTTGTTGCACTTCTATCTCGAACGGAAGGCGACGCATGTCTCCTATGCAAGCCACCATCCTCTTCATTAATAATCTGCAAGCACAAGTTACAAAATTAAGAAAACTATGACCCTAGCAACAAATTACAGAAATAGAAAAGCATACCAAGATAGACATACTCGCTGAATAACAGGGTCAAAGGATGAAAACAAACGACGGGAACGCTCCGGCCAAGTTTTTGCGAACATTCTGTAGCACATTCTTGCAGTAGATCGCACCTATTAAGTTCCACTACAATGTTATGCACTATAAAATATCAATAAATACATAGCATATCGCATGAAAAAAGGTACAGAGGATTTATAAATCACAACACAACAAACTTCATAGGATGTATTTCCCCAGAGCATTTAGAACAACCACAAAATATCTTTCAGACACCAGGCAACAATGTTTTTGTATTTAATCAAATTAAGCCATCTTAGTATTTAACAACTGGTCAGTTTGGAAATGATAAATTACAACATTGTTTCTCTAAGTATGCAAATTACTAAATGATCCGATCAAGCCTCTTCAAACATTAAAGTGGATTCCAGCTTTTCAGGTGTATGTTGAACACCCCAGGTTTGAACCTATGATAAGTTTGATGTTTTCATACCACACTACACTTGACCAAGCCCTTGAGATTTAAATGCATCTTTCATTGCTAATAGCCTCTCTAAGCTTAATGTACATTCCCCTTTTTAAAACCTACTGAAATCCATATACTCGTGCTCACAAACAGAACAAATATCAGTTAGTCTCCAGAAGTGATGAGGTTAACTATAGAGGGCAAAAATGTGAGTCCACACATAAAAGAACTCAAGAATTCCCATATAAGTACCTCACTCATTGCATCCGAAACACAACACCTAATGAAATCCTCATAAAGATCAGCTGACCGTTGTATTTCTGGAGCGTCGGGCCAGTGTTCAAGGATCAATAATGCATACTCGCAACATCTGATGAAAGAGGACAAAGTTATGATAAATACATATACCTGTGGCAACAAAAATACTAACCCTGAGTTTGTACCTTGCCCGGAGTATAGCACTTCGGTCATTTTTAGCAGAGTCTGCTATGCGAGGAAGCACGCGGATAACTTTGCAGTTACGTAACATCTAAACATCAGAAAAGGTACAGTAAGATAGAATACATCCAAATTTAAATGAGGCCAGAATGACAAGAGAAAGCATTACTGTCTTTATGCAGTTGTCTGCTGATTCTGCAATTACAAGTACAGTAATCACCACCAGCTTGAAAAGGACCTGAAAACAATAGCAACAGAAGGCTTCTTTTATCAGCAAACTACATCACCAAATTGGCTCATTTGAATGTGTGAGTTAGGGAGATGATGCGAAAGAACTTACAGGAATGAACATCTCCGCACATGGTTCGAAGTCACCCAAAAGTCCTTTGATAAGAAGCATAACAGGTGACAGGCCTATTAAAATTTCAAGAGGGCATTAGTATGAATAGAGCCCAGTAGTTGAAATCTACGAAAATGCTCTTAGCAAAAAATATGATGTAGATTTTATTCTAGTTAGTCCTCAAACAAGCATGTTTGCTCAGCATATTCATGTCATCTTTATTCTTGCATATACTAGGACTCCAAGAAAGCCTTAAAAAAAGGTTAGACATACAGACCAGTAACTCGGATTCTTTCGAGACAATGAACTTTTCCATGTATTTTCATTGAGAATGAAGTAGTCATTTGGAAGTTATGATTTCCAATAGTGTATTCTATGAATGCATGTGCCTCAGTCACTCACGTCCTTTGGCACAAACAGTTTCTGAAATTCTTACATTTGGAAAGGATGATGCATTCCAATACATTACATTTTTTCACTTCACTTTTTTCACTATTCAACTTTCCACGTCTCGTAAAGTGTCCATTGATCACTGAAAGTAAATAATTTAAACTGACCATCACCACATCCAAATGTGCATTAGTCCATCAACTAATTTAGATAATCTTCTTCTTTTACATAGGGATCGTTTGGATGGATCAATTAAAAAACAAGACAATTTTGGTAATTGTCGCATTTTACAAAACGACAAGTCAGTTTCTGAAATTCTTACATTTGGAAAAGGATGATGCATTCCAATACATTACATTTTTTCACTTCACTTTTTCACTATTCCAACTTTCCACGTCTCGTAAAGTGTCCATTGATCACTGAAAGTAAATAATTTAAACTGACCATCACCAATCCAAATTGTGCATTAGTCCATCAACTAATTTAGATAATCTTCTTCTTTTACATAGGGATCGTTTGGATGGATCAATTAAAAAACAAGACAATTTTGGTAATTGTCGCATTTTACAAAACGACAAGTCAATTTGAATTACCTGCCCATCCCCCCAGACAATTGGAATTGACTCAAAACGAATCAATTCGAAATTCCACAAGCCAAATTGTTTCATCCAATTTGCTGCTGACAAACAGGTCATTTGGTCCAATTGTCCCAAAACTAGACAATTGGGTCAAACTGATCCGTTACAATTCCTCATCCAAACGACCTCATGCATACATTCTCATAAAACACATCAAGCAGAAATCATGGAAATTTGCTCACTATCTTTTTAGTTGCTCCGTGATAATAAATCTCTTCTTTCATCAAATGCACAAGATTTCATGTTCCTATCTAGCATAGATTATTAAATCACCCAACAGAGGAGAAAGGAAATACTTCATCACTTCTGTAAAGTTTAAACAATTTCCCTCGTACTGCTCCCACTAAAAGATCAACATCCTACTTTAAAAAAAAAAAACCCTTAATTCTAACAAAAGGATAGCAAAATGCATAACTTACTTGCTTCACTATGCTGGACCTTCGATCAGATAGCTGAGTACTTAGAGGCCCAACAAGTTGTTTCAGAAGTCCTCGAAAGAAGGGTAGTCAGTGGCACCTAACAAGAAGGATCATAAGTGTTCCTTGTAATGAATATCACAGAAAATTTACAAAAAGATATCTAAACGAAAAAGAAACAATCAGTCAGTTAGGAAATGAGCTACAGAGGAACAAAAGTTGCCACGAGATGCAGCACTAGTTAATTTGGATTTCATTGACCAGTAAACCGCTTTTCCCAAGAAACCAAAAACAGCAACCATTATTGATGGAAAGAAGCTGGAATCCAGTGAAAACTCCCTAAATATCAACGTACAACTTTTTATTCTGACCATCATTGACAGGAAATATTGCATCTGCAATATAAAAGCATCAACGCGGCCATACAAAATCTAGATATTATGATCATAATAGGATAATCATTTGTTAAACAATGAATCATTAACTGAAACCACAGAGCTAGTCTGGGAAATCTTATTAAACTAACTTTGAGCACAGACCAAGAACAGCACCCACTACGGTGAACTGAATCTTTTACATCAATAATAACGAATTAATGAACAGCAAAACTATCGACAGCAAGCGAAAATGTTAGGAGTTAATATTATAAAGAAGCACAGACCTCCTAGAAACAAGGGCTTCAACTCTCTGCATAGCGGCTATACGTACGGACCAATCCTTTTCCGGAACAAGGGTCATACAGATCTTCTCAATTTCCCTAATTAGCTCCTTTCTGAGTAAACTTTATATGGTTCCATGGGCTTCTCAGTGACATCAGAATCTCCTACACAAAACAAACATCACATGGCACAAATGAAATCCCGGACAAAAAAAAATGTCCCAATAAGTAGTGATGACTTGATTCATCAAAAATAAAGTAGTGATGGCTAGAAAAAAACATTGACGATCAAACAGTAAAATACTGAAAAGAAAGGACTATGCGGAGCTAAGGAAGAAATTCTAACAAGTTAACCAAAACACCAAGAGTTACATGGTTATTGGGGAAAAAATCAACACAAATGGCTGACCTCCAAAAAACGGAAAGAGGAACTCTTTGCCTTTGGACTATTTCTTTTGCTACTAACACTAGTGGGTTTCACATCCATTGCACCAAAATTACTAGAGAGCCCATCTGCAGAGCGTACATGAGGTTCAATTCGCTCTAGCCTCGCATTAATATCTTTCATCTGCAGTCATGCAATAACAGAATGTTATAGAGACAGACAGCAAAATTGTGCCATGAAAGAGGAAACAATTACAACCATAGATCCAACGTGATGTAGGATAGGAGATCCAGCAGAACGGAGTAATTCAAAACTCACCATTGACATAGGAATATGGTGGCGCAGAAGCTCGTCACGAAATTGAGTGCCAGCCTGTGTGTACATCTCCTGCAATAAATTAAAATTTTTGAATGAATAATTGATGAGTAAACAAGAACTGCACTGAAATGCATAAACAATGGACAGGAGTGTCATGCTAAGAGTAACTGACCTCAATGCATAATATAGCTGCTTCCCTGACACCAGGATTTGGGTCATTCAACATTTGCAGAATCTGACAAATAAAGAAGTTTCAGGTTATTTCTGCTGCAATAATCCTAGAACATATGAGGCCATTGCACATCATAAAAAGAATATATCATACAGGAGGAAGGATAGCCCGCTGCAGAGGTAGCTCAGTAGAGGCAAAAAGACCAATTGCAGAGGTAACTGTTCGAGCAAACTCTTCACGTACTCTCCAGCTTTGTGGGTCCAGGCATAGGAGCCGGCTCTCTCTACAATGATTGTGGGTGAAGAAACCTGCATCAGACAGACATAATCATATCGCAATTCACTTCTAGCATGGTTTGTTAGTTGCTCTTCATTTGTCCAGGGAAGATCCCAAGGAAAAGGGTCAACATCCGCAGCAGTTCCATTTGATGTGGTGATTAAAGGTATGCTGAAGAAAGTACGAGGTACCACGTAGAGATATGGAAACACTTACAAAAATATAAGATATGCAGCAGCTCTGTGAATATCTATTGAAGTATAATAGAACAACCATATACCATTGGACCAATGAGCTAGACCAAATGTCATGACTGCCATTGCAATTTAAGAAACTTTGTGCTTATCACAAGTACGCAAGCCCTTGCAGACAAGTTCAAAAGCACATGAAAGGTCTTGCCAGAAATCAGGCCGACCGTTATCAAGAAGATGGCACAGCATTGGGACCAAAGGTCAAATAACTACCAAGTTTGAGACTGGAATCACTGTACCATCTAGGACTTTGCGGATTAACTTGCCCTGTAGATGTTATTTTGCCGATGTTATTTTGAACATTTAGAGGTACACGAATGCCAACAAATCTTTATATCTAACGATCAGCAATTCTGCTAACAATCTATATCGCCTAATATGAACACATCCAGTTGGAGAGTCCTTCTAAATTGGCTGATGGTATACTTTCGCCTAGCCACTGAAAATGACAGAAGGGGTATAGAGGCTTTTTCTCCATCAAAGTTACAACACCAAATGCTGCTATCAAAATGAAAGTAAATTAAGAGCCTTGCGAAATTATCTATAGTTAGAGCAATCAAGCAACGCATGAGTAGCTTACCACTTATTTTGCCTATGGCATACTTCCACTACGAAGATTAAATTTCAAAAGCAATAAACTAGTCCATGAAGAGCCATCACAAGTAACCGCATCAAATTGTATATTCCAAACGAATTGGCATTTCAAGCAGACAAGTACCTCCATCAGCGTGAGTAGCAGCCGTCTGGCGGCGTCTCTAACCGGCTGCTTGGCATCGCCGAGCCGCTCGACCACAGCGGGAACAAGCGCATTGAAATGCAACTTGAAATGCTCACCGGAAAGCACGGCAGCCGACGCCAGAGCCTGAAGCGCGCCCTGAGAGACCTTGAAGTTATTGTCCTTGAAGATCCATGCAGCAGTCAACCAGCGCCGTCGTCTCGGTAGAACTTAAGCTCCGCCGAGAAGCTTCTAGATGCTGGGTAGCCTCTCCACACCAGCCATACGCTCTTTTGTATCCTTGGCCCGCGCCAATTCCAGTGCCTCCTCCATGGCGGTAACTAGCACCGATTGATACCACTTCGGCTATTCGTTGATGGTCGGATCTAGCGAAATAGGGCCAGATCTGGCCCGTTTACCCCCGATTCTCGATAATTGGCGGCCGGGTATGTGAGATGGAGTGGGAGAAGCGGGTGCAGAGTGCAAGAGCCGAGAATGGAATTCTTCGCCGCCGCGATGAATCAGAACAGTTGGGAGGGGAAACGGCTGGGAATAGGACTTTGATACGGGTGAAGAAGGAAACAAACAAATTGAGGAAAAGAAGATGGGAAGAGAGTGAAAGAGTAAAGGTGACTAGGAGAAATAAGAGAGACGGAGCTGAAACATTAAAGAAGATGAAGAGGAGAGAGAGAGTGAGTGAGTGTGTCAATGTGAGTAGGGGCAACTGGGCAAGTTCGGCCTCAGCGTGGTTCGGGCAAGATCATGCGACTAGGGCATGGTTGTCAAGCCACTGCCCACTGGCATATCGACCGGTTGAACCAGGTTAAACCATTACCGGTGATGAAACCGACTGGAATATTACTGGTATAATGTTGTGGTCAATGCTGGTCAACACTGGTCAAACCCGAGAATTTCGAGCGGTTCAACCAAAAAATTTGTGCCGGAAATTAATCACCTGTCCTCAGCCTTCGTGCTCCCCTATTTCCCATTGACGACCAAAAACTAGCAGACCCCGATCCACAAAACCCCCACAGCCGTGACATCATCCTGTCTCCGTCTCTGCTCCAAGCTGGCCTCGCTGCTCCTCCCAACGTTGTTGCGCCTCGGCTAATAACCTTTAAATGTCATCATCGTTGAGCCTCCTCCGGCCAGCTTGCCGATGACAACGCCGGAGATGAAATAGGGTTAGAGAATTAGGGGATTTTTCCAAATCATCATTTGGCGTGAAATAGAAGTGTGGTTAGAGGTGGATTTGAGGAAGATTAGTGGGTTAGCGATTGAATTGGAATTAGTGGTCAGAAGTGGATTTGGGGAAGATTAATGGGTTGAATTTTGTTGTCTTTTGCAGCCTAGTTATTCTGCTAACTTGAAGATTCGTTAGTATATACTAACTAATATCCAAAATGTATGAACTAATATCCAAGTTTGTTGAGTATCTAGATAGCACAGAATAATATTCAAAACATCACAAACTAGTATCCAGATAGCAGATATCAACTAATATCCACAATCACCAACTAGTATTCAATATGGATGCTTGATAGACCGTCATTTACACATGTTTTTACCCCCGTTCTTACACCGTTTGAGGTGTTGATTCTCGTGTTTTAGGCCGATTTCACGCTAGGTTGTGCTTGTTTGTGATATTTCAGGTCCTAGTACGTGAATGAAGGCTGAGGAGCGAGTCTGGGGTCGATTGGACGAAGAACGGACGAATGGCGAGGTTTTTGGGGAGCTGCACGGGCAGACCAGGGAGGCTGCACGGCCGCGCGAAGTGCAACTCTGGCCGTGCGCCTTATGCCGAGGAGTGCACGGGCAACCCCTGAAGACTGCACGGCCGTGCACCCTGGCCGTGCAAGAAGGCTGAGTCGACTAATGATACGCTGCGTTTTGGAGTGCACGGCCAGAATGGTGATGTGCACGGCCGTGCACCTGGCCGTGCAAGTCGGGAAACCTTTTTAGAGCCTATCCGAGCCAAAGTGGGAGAATCGTGTTTTCAGAGCAAAAACAGAGCCCTAGAGAGAGAAAGTGCGAAGAACACATCCTAGAAGCTGTCTTGAGCTGGATTTCATCGAATCGAGCCTGGAGATCGTCATAGGAGTGAAATCATCGTCCCGGAGCAGATTATCCTCATCGTTATGAGTATGACTAATCCGATTCTTGTTTTCTCTTCTCTCTCTATGGAGTAGAACCCTTCTCTCACTTGGGTATGAAGAACCCTAGTTCCTTGTGTTAGGGATTTGATTGTAATGACTTGGGATGATATTACTGTTTGATTTTAATCGAATGACGCATGTTTATGAATTGATTTGAGTCTGATCAGCTTGTCTCAATTTCTGCTTCAACCTGAGATAGATAGAATCTGATTAGGTTGTTAGAGCCTCTTCATTCGATAGTAGGAGATTGGCTATACGAGAGTTAGCCAGTTTACTGCTTTGTACTGGTGTTCTTGCGCCAGTAGTGGAGTTCTGTGTTCATAGCCTCAGCTTTCTATCCCGGTGAAGACTAGTCGTCTGCCGGGTAGTTAGACTGAGAGGGCTTGGTCAGCTTAAGAGATTCCAAGCTACTGTCGGATCTTCCGCAGTCTAATCAACAGTAAATCAACCCAGGGAATTGCAATTGAACCTAACTAAGGGGCTAGGGGGACTCAATCCCGAGTGACTCTTACCTGCTTTAAAACCGAACATTTACTGCTTTCTTGTTGCTTTTACTTTACAACAATCACTCGAACTAGTTTGCTAGATAATAGAGAATCACGGAGTAAGCAGTAGATCTAGACCCCGGGTTGATAATTAAACTTGCCTGTTACTGCATTCCCGGACTGCGATTACACTTGGTCGCAGTTTGGTGTTGTGTTTTGGCGTGTCAAGTTTTTGGCGCCGTTGCCGGGGACCCTCTAGGTTATTGGGGAAACGTGATAATTTGTTACTCTAGCTTTTATTTACTGCATTTTATCTCTTCCACCTGTGTGCCTTCACGGGTTGCTTCTGCTGATTGTGTGCAGGTAGTGCATGACCCGTAGCCAGTCGGGAGATCTACTACCATTGACCAGGAGCTTGAACGAACTGCAGGAACTTCAAGCGGGCTCTAAAGGCGCGACTGGCTGCGGAGAGGCGCTGTCACAGCTACAGATCGGAGAAGAAGAAGAAGAGATGGGTGATCCGCAGAACAACATGTGATCCCCGGGGAGCAGACCATGGGATCCTACTGGACCGCTAGGGCTGCGGACATGAGGTCACCTATTCAACACCCTCAGGTCCCAGCCAACAACTTTGAGGTGAGCACCTCCGTGATCACCATGCTGCGCGGTTCAGTAGTGTTCCGTGGTAAGGAGGGAGAGTGCCCTCGATCACATCTCAGGCGATTCCACGAGCTCATCGATGGAATCAAGATCAATGGGGTACCAGCAGATGCCATCCAGCTGAGGTACTTCCCATTCACTCTGGAGGGGCAGGCCAAGGAGTGGCTAGACACTCGACCTCCGGGCTCCATCACCACGTTCGCCAACCTGGCGGACAAGTTCCTCACCCGCTACCATCCTCCATCCAAGACAGCTGATCTCCAGAAGCAGATTACACATTTTCTCAGGATGAGGATGAGACCATTAGGGATGCTTGGGAGAGGTACACCAGCCTCTTTCTCAGGTGTCCCAACCATGGTTTCAATGATGCGTTCAAGGTGGGCACCTTCTATCACGCCCTCTTCCCGGAGGACAAGCAGCTGATCGATTCGGTTTGTGGCGGGAACATGCTGACCAAAACCCCGCCACAGCTGAATCAACTCTTTGAGGAGATGGCGGAGAACGGTTATGACTGGGGCACTGCCAGGAGATCGAGACGAGCACCTGGAAGGGGTGTGCATGCTGTGGGCACCCAGTCATCTGATTTGGTGCAGGTGGTATCGAAGCTGGTTTCAGCTATCGATCGTTCTGGTTTGATTGCAGGTACCGGACAGCCGCAGGCGATGCACTGCCAGTGGTGTGAGAGCTCTCATCACACCGTGGAGGACTGTCAGGCGATGAGGGAGTCGTCCACTCCCCAGGAGCAGGTGGATTTCATCGGGAATGCCAGGCGCTTTGACCCCTACAGCAACACCTATAATGAGGGGTGGCGCCAGCATCCTAACTTTTCTTGGGCTGGGCCAAATCCCAGACCACCAGCTCCCCAGGGACCTCCCGGTTTCCAGAGGCCTCCATACCAGCCCAGACAGGGGCAATTTCAGCAGCAACAGCAGCCACTCTACCAGCCCAGACAGGGGCCAGTTCCACCTCAGTCGCAGGCACGACCATTTCCACAGGCAGGGGCAGCCCCAGTACAGGTTGACCCGATGGCGGAACTGAGAGATCTGGTGGGTTCTCTGGCCACCTCCAGTGCAAGTAAATTCAATAACATTGAGCAGTTCATGGAGAAAGCTTCTGGCAAGTTCTTGGAGCTAGAAGCTGGTCAGAGAAACACAGGCTGTGCTGCGAGATATACAGACCCAGCTTGGTGGTGTTGCCCAGGCTGTTGCTCGGAGGACTCCAGGTACCTTGCCTGGTCAGACCATCCCTCACCCGCAGAACCAGGATGAAAACTGAGTGCCATCACAACCAGGAGTGGCAAGGTGACTGCCGATCCACCTGTTCGGGCAGAGGAGAGAGACCCCTGCTTCAGCACTTCCAGCTAATCAGGAAGAAATGGAGAAGGAGGTTGAGGTGCCTGCTCCTAAACCGCAACCAGTGGTGAAGGAGTATGTACCACAGCTTCCCTTTCCTACTCGGTTGCACAAGACCGACTGGAGACTGAGTTTGCCAAATTCATGGCAATGCTGAAGCAGGTGAATATTAGCATGCCCTTCGTGGAGGCATTATCGAAGATGCCCAAGTATGCCAAGTTCATGAAGGATCTCCTCACCAACAAGAGGAAGCTTGGGGAGCTGTCTACGGTGATGCTAAACGAGGAGTGTTCTGCCATCCTGCAGAACAAACTACCAGAGAAGCGAAAAGATCCAGGGAGTTTCACTATCCCTTGCATGATTGGTAGTTTGCATGTAGGGAAGTCCTTGGCGGATTTAGGCGCTAGCATTAATGTCATGCCATATTCACTGTTTAAGAAGCTAGGCCTAGGTGAACCCAGTAATACTAGGATGAGCATCCAGCTTGCTGATAGATCTATTGTGCATCCTAGGGGTATAGCAGAGGACTTGATAGTCGCAGTAGGGCCATTTTCATATCCTGTTGATTTTGTGATTTTGGACATAAATGAGGATGTTGATGTGCCATTGATACTGGGTAGACCTTTTCTCGCCACCGCCAAGGCACTGATTGATGTTAATGATGGAAAGCTGATTTTGAGAGCTGGGGGTGAACAAATCACCTTCTCTGTTTCTGATAATATGAAACACCCCCAGCTCCATGATGATCTTGATTACTGTGATGTTGTTGCTGATTTTGAGACCGCACTCGCCATCACGAGTGCGGGTACTGATGATTTCCTTGAGCGTTGTCTTTTGCTAGGGGAACAGGCATCACAGGATATGCAGCTGGCGGAGCAGCTTGCGGAGCTGGACGAGGCTGCGAGCGAGGGGCGAGAGATGCCATTCAAGCCGATTCCCATCTCGCCCCGGCTCGCTACATCATTGGAGGAGCCACCAGAGTTGGAGCTTAAACCCCTCCCATCTCATCTGGAGTATGCATTTCTCCGGGAGGGGAATAAGCTCCCGGTTAT